TGAAACTTGTACTAAAAGTTGTGATCCATTCCAAAATTATAATTTAAATGAGATTTTTCAGTATTTCCAAATGTGTTAGTACTTCAATATTTGCAATTGTTTATGGTTGTTTGATTCCCTTGAATAAACAAAATAAATCATGTGCATTGAATATCATGCATCATTTCACACATATTTTTTGAATTCCTATCTTTCACATGTGACTTGTTTCTCTACTTCGTTCAGTCAGCAAGCTGTCTCATTGCTACAATACTCGGGATAATTCTATAAATAAGATGGAAAACCTTAAACAATACGCGAAGAAGTGACTGCTTGGAGAGCCGATATGGCTAATCTAACTGCTTTGGTAAAGTCGTTGGTGGCTGCTCAAAATCAGCCACCTACTTCTCCTCCATCTCCTCATGCTACTCAACCACAACAGACGATGTTATTTCAGAGGTTCTGACAGTTCCCATCTCTGTTACTCCAGTTACTGCTACTCAATATTATATGCCTTGCAGTTACCTGTGAGGAATGCCTGAGAATTTCATGCTAGAAGGTTACAATCATGCTGCTCAAGTTGCTCCATTTGTTCAAATTGCTGTTGTTTAATGCAATTCATGTTGTTCAAGCTACTCCTGTTTATCATCCTGCTCCTCAACCAAGTGAAAGTTTGGGCCTTTATAACCGAGTGGATGATTTTCAGGGTCAACTCAATGAAATGCAGAAAGAACTGAAGGTTCTTTAAAGGAAAAAGTTATTCACACAGAATGTCAGTGACCTCTGCTTGGTTCCAAATGTGAAAATGCCAACAAAGTTCAGTGTACCAAAATTCAAGAATTACAAATGAAACTCTTGTCCCTGTAACCACCTGGTGATGTATATCAAAAGGATGTCCACTCATAATGATGACCAACGCTTTCTTATTCATTTCTTCAAGGATGGTTTAACTGGTGCTACCTTGAAATGGTATATGGGATTAGGCAGTAGCAACATTTGCATATTTAATGACTTGGTTGAAGATTTCGTGAAACAGTATACGCAGAAAGTAGAACATGTTTCTGGCGCCTGACTGTGATTGATTGAGAGCGATGGCTCAAAAAGATAAGGAGTCATTTAAGGAGTATACACATCATTGACGCGAGGTTGTTGCCCAAGTGGTACCCCCGATTAGATAGCAAGAAATTAATAAGGTCTTCCTAAATACCCTTGGTTCATTTTACTATGAAAGAATGGTGGCGAGTGCGCCAAGTGATTTCACTGAGATAGTAAGTATGGGTGTCTATCTAGAGGAAGCTTTCAAGGAAGGACGATTGACAAAAGATGAAGGTTCTGGTAGAGTAAAGAAATAATCATATGGGTTTTATAAAAATAAATAAGGAGAAATTAATTTTGTCATTCAAGAAAGAAGGGTTAGAACTCCAAGAAGACGTCATCAGCATCAACAACGAGTTACTTTGGTAACTCCGGCCGTTAATGCAACTCTAATTGTTGTTTCCTATATAAGAGAACCGCAACAAGGTAATCAAGGGAAAGGTCAGAAGAGAGAAGCTTTTGATCATATCCCAATGAGTTATGAGAATTGTTTCCAGCTTTAATTTAAACTAATCTGGTGCAAACTAGGCCTCCTCCTGCTACACCTTCAACTTTGCCATGGTATGATAAAGCTGATCAAACTTGTTCTTTTCCTCAAGGAGCCCCTGGGCACAATGTTGAAAATGGTTATCTGTTGAAGTCAGAAGTGCAGAAGATGGTAATATCTGGTCTTCTATCTTTTAAATATGTAGGTCCCAATGTGAAGGATAATCCACAACAAAAACATTGAGGTGGAAGTGTATTAAATATGGTTGCTGGTTGTCTTGGGGATTTCAGGATTTTTGATATTAACCTGGTTAGAGGTGATTTAGTGAAGATGCATGTTGATCTATGTGAATTCAGCTACTATACACATGGCCATTCCGCTTATAGTATCTGCAGTACGGGCATTCATGGATGTGATAAAGTGAGAGTTGATCTCCAAGAGATGATGGATGAAGGTCTTATCCACATAATCAGACCAAGGGCTGAATATGAAGAAGAGGTGAATATGGTTTATGGTTGTCCTGATGAATTCTAGATTTTTAATGTAAACTATATGGATGATGATCTGGTACAACTGCACGCCACATTTTGTCACATGGATGGCCAAGAGTTACATCATTATGGGTCCCGTCGGATCTGCTGTAGAGATTCCCATGGTTATTTTGTTGTGAGAAGAAGTGTTTAATTGTTGTTAGATAAAGGTACTATCAGAGTCACAGGAAACATATATGAGTATAATGGAGTTAATATGATTAAAGACCATTATGTTAAGGCCATGTCTAATGACGAGTATGTTTCTGCTGATGAGTTCTTTTCTTATGATAAATGTATGTTTTCTGATAATGATTATGTAGTTATTGAGTATTCTGAAGAAGCAGGGGGTGAATGTCATTGTTCCATATTTTGGTGTTCCCGCTCCTGTAGAGATTACATATCATAGGAAACCTGGTGTTACTCCCGTATTTATTTGTTTTTCTGGTCCTATCCCATATGAATCACATAAAGTTATGCCTTATAAGTATAATGCAACTATCCTGGAAGATGGTATGGAAATTCATATCCAACCTTTGTCCCATGTTGAGAATATTGTTGAAGCTAGTCAGGTAACTCGTAGTGGTCGTGTTTTCGCCCCTACCTTTCGAAGATATGTTAATTCTAGTAAGAAGGTTGTTGAGAATGTTGAACCTAAGAATGTGGTAGGAGAATCTAGCAGCGCCGCCTTGGAAAATGATGTTGATGACCTGTTAAAAATCATCAAGATGAGTGATTACAAGATTGTGGATTAGTTGTTGCAAACTCAATCTAAGATTTCCATTTTAGCCTTGTTGATGAACTCCTCTGCTGATCGAGAATCTATGATGAGGGTATTGGATCAGGATTTTGTTGAAAGGGATATGTTTTTGGATCAGTTCAATGGAGTTATGGGTAATATTATGTCTTGTAACAATAAGAGTTTTTGTGATGAAGAATTTCCTGATAAAGGGATAAACCATAACTTGGCTCTGCATATATCTATGAATTGTAAGAGTGAATCTTTTTCCAATGTGATGATAGAAAATGGATATGCTTTGAATGTCATACCAAGAAGCACTCTCTCGAAGCTTAAATAACACGGAACTCCAATGCGCCCTAGTGGCATTATAGTAAAAGCTTTTGATGGTTCGAGAAATTTTTTCAATTGAGAGGTGGACTTACCTATTCACATAGGTCTATACTTATTCCAAATCACTTTTCAGGTTATGGATATTGTCTCGGCCTATAGTTGTTTATTGGGACGACCCTGGATCCAAGAAGCAGGAGCTATTACTTCAACCTGGCATCAGAAACTAAAATTTGTTCGTGAAGGGAATTCAGTTATTGTAAACAATGTAATGCTCTATTGATATCTCATTTGTCTTCCTTTATCAATGTAGAAGCTAATGAAGCCGCTACTTGAAATCTGTTCCAAGCTTTGTCTATTGATAATATAAGGAAGAATGAAAATTCTATCACCTCATTTAAGGATGCACAACAGGTAGTTCAGAAGGGCCCTAGCAAGGTGTGAAGACATGTTATTAATCCACCTGTGAACAAGAATGAGACTAGTTTGGGTGAAGAATGAAGTTGTGAAGCCAAAGTCCACTTTGAGTAAATACCAAGACATCTTTCACATTGTGGCACATTGAGTCAGAATCCAAAAGATCAACACTATTCTCGAAGATGAGCCAGAGAAAGAGATGCTGAACATTGTGACACATGGAGTCAGAATCCAGAATTGGATCACTGTTGATGTTCCTTCTTGCATTCACATTTCAAAGTAATTTGTTTTTTGTTTGTCTTTTCAAAAGTCATTCACTCTGCCCAAGGTGAAAGTAATGTTGTTTGAGCGTGTCTTTTGTTTTGAATTTCAAGATCATTAATAAAATTTGTTTTTGATTTCTAAATTGTGCCTTTATTTTATGTTTTACTTGGAAAATGGTAATCAGAAAAAAAATCTCAAAATAAATAATTGTCATACCCTAATTTTTGACCTAAGATCCCACCTCCCATCTGCATTATTACATAGCGAGCGTTCACAAGCGATTCGACCTATTTTTTCCATTTCTCGGAGCAGATTTTAAAAATTCATAACTTCTTCAAATTTCGACATTTTTGAGAGGTTGTTTTTGCACATGATTTTCCTTGACATCATCTACAACTTTTCTTTATAAATCAAGGGAAAATTATGCATTAAAAAGCCATGAAAAATTGTTGACGTTAAAAGTTGTTTTGTGAATTTGGTGAAATTTGAGTTCGACTGTGTTTTATTCATGATTTCTTTTCCATTAAAAAATTGCAAAAGACGCACTTAACATGTGTTATTATTTTTATTTATTTATTTATAATTTTTTTTATTTCTTTATTCAAAATATAAAAAATATGGTCTTTTATTAATTCTATTTAAATTTATATGTTTGTATCACTTTATTTGAAAAAATCCAAAAAAAATATGTGATTAGCGTCATCTTTATTTTAGTTGTATTTTACATCCAGAAAATCTCAAAGAAAAAATATATAGTTAATACCATTTTCTTTTATTTACATTTTATTTCTTTAGTCATTATAATTTTAGTTCCTTTTTAATTTTGATTTAGTTCTAATATTAATTGAATTTCTTAAATTGAATTATTATTATTACTAAACACTTTTTTTGTTTGTGTCTCTTATTTTAATTTTTTTTGTACTTTTAGTTTAGTTGTCACTAACAATCTCCTCTTTTTTTTTGGTTAATTATTATTACTATTTTTCTTGTTGTTAATTTTGTTTTATCCAAAAAGAAAGAAAATATAAAGTTGGAGGAGGGTCACAGTTTACAACAACAATTTTATCTCATCTCTTGTCATTTTCATGCTGCACATCCAAACACAACTATCCAAAATTTGCTTCAACTCTTGCCAAATCTTCCCCCAAACCTGCTACTGTCATACTGCAAAATCTGCACCATAATACATCCAAGAAACTTGCATAATGAGGCCAAGCCATAGCCCTGTACTAAAACCAGGCCATAAACAGATGCCAAAAACCTGTCAAAATTGCATAGAATTAGTAAGGAAAAAGCTATATCAGAAAAGAAATAAAGCAAATCACCAAATTATTCAAACTTATCAAAATCTCCATCTAATTTCGCTTATGTTTTGGGGATAAGACAGTAGAAAAATCACAAAAAAAGGAGGGGACACAAATCCTTGACTCTTCATCTTCCTCTTCAACTTATTTCCTTCCACCCACCTCTCACTGCATAAATCAATGGCATCCCTTTACAATCCTAAAAAACAATAATCCACTCACCTTCAAAAACCCTTCCATCTCCAACATAACACAATCTGCAATCTCAACAGAAACAAAATAGACACTCTCCTCAAATATTCGAGCACCAACATAGCACGACACAACAATACACTGAAGCGCGACGAATCGGTAGAAGAAGAACTTGAGTAGAAGAGAAAAGGAACATACTCAAAGATATAAAGTGAGAGATTTGAGAACTTACTCGGAAAGTCACCATCGAAGCTCAAGTTTGTTCCAGACGCCTCCGACGGGACTGCAATACCGCTAAAAAGTAAACTGCAACTCAGCGACTCTGCCTCCATGCTACACCTCAACCTCGCTCACTAGAAACGAGTTCAGATCGTGGCTGAAAAAAAATCACCACTCCGGTGCAGGCGATCCCACCACCGCACCATCGTACTTCCACCGAAATCTCATACCGCCACCGCACTCACAAGTCGTATCACCGGTCAGTTTTTGTGCCTCTTTACTTTCGTGTTTGTTTGGCTTTATTTTTCTCACGTAGTTGTTTGTGTATTTGAGTTTTTCAATTGCATTTGATGTGGTGAACTTGATTTGAGATGGAAAGAAACTTTGAAGGGAAGAAAAAGAATATGATATGATGAAAAGAGAGAGTTTTTTTTTTTACAGTAAACATAGGAAATAGGTTTTATTGGGAATCAATGATTAATATGACATTTTCCTCTTCCCAGTAACAATGAATCTGGCGCCTCTATGCTTTAGGGTTTCAAAACCTTTCTTTGTTCTCTTTCTAAAACTGGGTCGGCCCCAATGGGCCTGTGGCCCAATCCATTATCATTATTAGCCTTTTCTTTCAATTAAATCATAGTAATAACAATTAAAGAACATAGTTCATTTGGCAAGGTGGCCCAATCCATTATCATTATTAGCCTTTTCTTTCAATTAAATCATAGTAATAACAATTAAAGAACATAGTTCATTTGGCAAGGCTAGTACACTGCAATCTAAGAAAATGTGAGTTCAACACCTTGTGAAAACATTTCTATTTTGTTTTTGTTAACTCTTTAAGCTTATTTAAAAAAAAAAAAAATATATATATATATATATATATATATATATATATATATATATATATATATATATATATATATATATATATATATATTAGTAAATCGTATAACTAATTTAGTTTAGTATTAATTTAGATTTATTTTATAACTTTTTGTATTAAGCTTTAGTTTAGTAAACTTTAGAATTTTATGTGTTGTAGTATTATTTTAGTAACCTTAGGATTTTATTTCATTTAGATTTGACTTAGTAAATTTTAGAATTTTATTTGTTTTAGTTTTGACTTAGTAAACTTTAGAATTTTATTTTGTTTAGTTTTATTTTAGTAACTTTAGGATTTTATTTCATTTAGATTTGACTTAGTAAATTTTAGAATTTTATTTGTTTTAGTTTTGACTTAGTAGACTTTAGAATTTTATTTTGTTTAGTTTTATTTTAGTAACTTTAGGATTTTATTTCATTTAGATTTGACTTAGTAAATTTTAGAATTTTATTTGTTTTAGTTTTAATTTAGTAAACTTTAGAATTTTATTTGATTTTATTTAAGTTAACTTTAGAATTTTAGTTGTTAGTTTTAGTTTAGGGACTTTAGAACTTTATTTGATTTAGAATTAGTTTAATGAGTTTATAATTTTTATTTGATTTAGAATTAGTTTAATAAGTTTAGAATTTTAGTTGTTTAGAATTAGTTTAATATTCTTTTAGAATTTTATTTGATTTAGATTTAGTTTAGTAACTTTGGAACTTTTTTTTGTTTTAGATTAGCAACCTTGGAATTTTTATTTAGTTTAGATTTAATTTACTAATTTTAAAATTTTTAATTTAGCTTAGATCTAATTTAGTAATTTTAGAACTATTTTTGCAACCTTAGAATTTGTAGTTAGTTTAGAATTTTTTTAGTAAGTAATCTTAAATTTTTAATTTAGTTTAAATAACTTCTTTAGATAATTAGTTACATTCTCTTTTATTTTATTTAAATATCTTTGTCATTTCAATTTCTTGATGCCTTTAGGTCATTAATCTGTTTCGTTATATTTATTTTCTTGTGAATTTTGATTGCTTATATTTTGATGTCTATTTTATTTTGCTCGCTCGATTTAATCCAAGGGAATTGTCTAATTTTTTGTCGACTTTATGTCATCAAAAAAACATCGTGTGAATACCCTCATTCATTAAAAACATAGGTTAAATTTCCCAAATATCCAATTTCTTCAAAAACTCACACCTTTTAAGTCAAAACTGCGACATTAGGTCTTCTTATCTTCAAAAACTCGTCCATACCCATTTTCGGCCAAAATAATTTATTTTTAATCAAACGAACATTTTAATAAACAGATATTTCAAAAGGTTCCTATAGAATACTATAGATACATTGGGTGATAATACCTTCCCATTGTATAACCAACCCCCGAACTTTAGACCTCTTTTCAAAACGCCTTGTATTTTCATTACTTTCAAAGTATTATTTTACATTGCATATTTTAGGGTTTTATTTCGCTCTTTTCCCTTTTCCCTTGGAAATAATAAAGCGCGGTGGCGACTCTTGCTTTTGTGAGACGAATTAATTAATAATTCGATCTCCGATTTACCCCGCTACATTTTTTATCGCTACAATAATAACTGTAAATAAATTAGCATAATCATTTTTACATGTGTCAGTTTCTAAAATCAATCATAAATCATATGTGCAGATTAATTAAAAACATGTTGAATGAAATGACCCTATACCCTCTCCCAACTTTGAATATCTATTGTATGTGGATAAAGAAGAATGATATGGTGAAATCCCATAAGAGGTTTCACGGTTGCTTGAGCGCGAGGAAAATACCATTCAGCCATATAAAGAGCCATTGAAAATGATTAACTTGGGTTCAGAGGAAGATCCGAAATAAGTCAATATTGGGGCATTACTTCATCCCGATGTGAAGAGTAGGTTGATTAAGTTGATGAAAGAGTATGTGGATATCTTTGCTTGGTCTTACCAAAACATGCCTGGTTGGGACACTGATATTGTGGAACATTATTTTCCGCTAAAGCCAGAATGTTTATCAATCAAGCAGAAGTTGCAAAGAAATTATCCTGACGTGGCAATAAAGATTAAAGAGGAGGCTTTGAAGCAGATTGATGCTGGTTTTCTTGTGACATCAGTGTACCCTCAGTGGATTGCCAATATTGTTCTAGTACCAAAGAAACACTGAAAGGTCTACATGTGCATTGATTATAGAGATCTAAATAAAAGCAAGTCAGAAAGAAGATTTCCCATTTCCCAATATTGATATGTAGGTTGATATCACATCAAAATTCAAAGTGTTCTCGTTCATGGATGGACTTTCCAGATACAATCAAATTAGGATGGCTCCTGAGGACATGTAAAAAACAATGTTTATCACACCTTGAGGAACATTCTATTACAAAGTGATGCCTTTTCGGTTGAAGAACACGGGTGCCACGTACCAGAGGGCTATGACAAACCTATTCCATGATATGATGCATAATAAAATTGAAGTATATGTTGGTGATATGATCGCCAAATCTCAGACTAAGGAAGGCCATATGGAAGACTTGTTGAAGTTGTTTCAGCGTTTGAGGAAGTATCATCTCTACTTGAATCCAAATAAGTGTACTTTTGTTGTTTGTTCAGGAAAGTTTATAGGGTTCATTGTCAGACAAAAAGGAATTGAAGTTGATCCTAATAAAGTTAAGGAAATTCAAGAAATGCATGTCCCAAGAATTGAAAAGAAAGTTAAAGGCTTCCTTGGACATTTAAGTTACATTTCGATATTTATTTCCCATATGACAGGAACATGTGAGCCAATCTTCAAGTTGTTAAAGAAAGATCAGGGTTGTGTGTGGACGGATGATTTCCAAAGGACATTTGAAAGCATTAAAGAGTATTCACTTGAGCGTCCTATCTTGCTCCCTCCTGTTGAAGGAAGACCATTGATTATGTATATGACTGTGTTGGATAACTCTATGGGCTGTATTTAGGGACAAAAAAATGAAACAAGAAGAAAATAATATGCCATTTACTATTTGAGCAAGAAGTTCACTGACTACAAGTCACGGTATTCTATGCTAGAAAACACATGTTGTGCTTTGGCCTGGGCAGCGAAGCGATTGCAGAAATATAAGTTGAATCACACTACTTGAAGAATTACCCATTGGAAGTTGTTGTACCCAAAAATTTTCCCTCTGATTTCTCAACTAATCTCTCACAAGATCTCATTTGGTTCAAGACTGCACAAGGGTTGATCAGCTCAAGACACCTCCTTAAGCACTAATGACTGAAAATTAGGGTTTGAGTTTGCACAAGGACAAATGGACTTTTATTCCCTTATATGACTTTCATGGATCATTTTGGACCCTCAAGTTTTCTCATGTAAAGTTTCAAGGCTTGGATCACATTTTTGCTCAGTCAATTGATTAGTTAACCTAAAATTAGTTGTGTTGGGGAAAAAGTCAACTCTGGTCAATTTACAGTCAAACTTCATAATTTTTTGTCCATATCAACATTATGAACTCATATATGTAATTTGATCAAGTTTGGACCACAATTCCTCAAGAAGATTGATCAGATCATCAAAAGGGAAAAATAGTCAAAATTAGGATTTTGACTGAGAAATGGCAATTTTTGATTTTTGACCTAGCAAATGATTGATTGGTTTAAGTTATGATATCAAGGTCTCAAATGCTACATTTTTACCTAATGGCATGGCTCAAAACATTGCTCAAGATCAATTGGTTGACAGATGATTTTCAGTCAACTGATGAAAAGTCAACTGTACACTAAAAAGTCAAACTTTGACTTTTTTGTCAAAATCAAGTGTAAAAGATCACAATTCATCAAAACATGTCAAAATGTTAAACTTGTTCATCAAGAAATCAAAAAGTCAATATTTCATTTAGAAAATTCAAATTTTCTAAACTTAGAAATTTTTCTAAGTGTTGAAAATTTCATATTTTTTTCATATCTTTGAGCCAAATTTCCACCATGATGCAAGATGATTCAAAGAAAAATTCCAACATGAAAGTTGTAGATCTCAATGAGATCTAAAACATTGTATAACACAAATTATCCTATAAATGCATGGATTTCAAGTTATGATTTTGTGAATACATGTTCATGAAACTTGGAAACTTAGTGAAATTTTGCCCTAGTTTAGGCAGGATTTTGACCTAACTTCATGGCAACTTTTCACATAGTTCGAAGATAAATTTTCAAAAATGTCCAACATAGAGGTTGTATTGGATGTTACAAGATTTCCAAAATGTC